ATTTGACCTATTTGATGTGGACATGACCTTTGCTTTGTAGTGGTTCTAACACGCTATACATAAATAAGCCAGCTAAAATACAGTATGTAATACTGAGCCAATCAATGTGTAGCAATGTTTTTGTGCTAAAAACTGGAGTTTCTCACCAAATTTACCAATCCGATTAAAACCTTGAGCACCCATTTACATTGTTCCTTAGATGCTGGGGACGCGCCCAATGGCTCTCTCGTCCTAGATTCTGTGCAGGATGCTGCAGATGTCACTAAATGGGGGTTTATTTGGCCAGACTTCAGGGAAGCCATGCTTGGCCTACAGGATTATCATTCATTCCATAGTACATTTTATAACAAAGGTGAACATACCCCTTGTTGCACAAAAATGAATCCTTCAGTGACTGAGCTACTAATTGTTTGACATTTCAGCAAAATGAACCTTCGTTGACAGGAATTCATTTGTTTCCTGCCAATAAAAAAAGATAAGAATGATTCTTTAGCTGTTACAAATTGCTCCAATGAAGTCATGGTTCTGACATGGTCCTAAATGTTCCACTTGGCAGAGTATTTCTGTGAGCTTGTAGGCCTACCACTTTGTGACCAAGTTGTGGTTGTTCATAATTGTTTCCAGTTAGCAATCACTTCAGTGACTTTTCCAGCTCCAGCAGGATTCTATATAATTCCCTTCAGTCCAACCAATTCTGCTGCCAATATTTATTGCTGGGATTGCATGGCTGTGTGTTTAATTATACGTCTGGGTGTGACTTAAGCAGCCAGTTCCTCTAATTAGAAGGGATATTGTGCTAATTTTGGTCATGTTGCATAGTTAGAGTTTATAGAGTTGCCTGGTATCTGGCTATCAACCAGATAGTTTGGATGTCAGGTGCTCTCTTTGTTATCCTTTTAGGTGTCTTGGGCTGCTGCTTGTATAGACCCTGAGAACAAAGATGTAGATTTAGCCACAGCAGTAGCCCCCAGTAGTACTTGCCGAGCATCTTTCCTACTCTTACTCTACCGCAATGGTGTAACTACAGCAGCCCACCACACTGCTATTGTGGGACCTGAGGTGGAAGGGATTAGTGAGGTTGCTCAGGCAAATTAAACATTTGTGAGAACAATTGTGTCCTGACATCAGATGCACAAAAGGAATCTATGGCATCTTGGCATTGCTAGTTACAGTTCAGGGAAAGTGCCATAGAGAGAGGTCTTGGGGACTGCCATAGTCAAATTTTTGCTGTGGGGCTCGACCCCAAAATAGCCAGCATCTATGCCGTAGTTTGCTTCAGAGACAAGGTAGCACTACAAAGACTCAAAGTCAGTCGGACAGCCCATGTATGAAGTCTTCTCTGATTGGTTATTTTAAAGTGGGACCTGAATGCACAGAGGGCATCTAATACAAGTATTGATCATCATCTACGCACAAATAACTGATACTGTGAATACAATAAAAAAAAAAAATTCCCATAGTGAGCAGTGCGGCAGTCTCAAAATCCCCCACTGCCATCAAAATCTTTTTATGGACCCTCTATAGGGTGCCCACAGAAACAACATAACCAATCAAAGGGTCTGAGGGGCTGTAAGGGTTTTAGGATACTTGAGCAGACCCTTCCTCAGTGTCTAGTTGTATCAATATTTCCATGCTTTATAGTCTAATATCAAACAAAATATTGCACATAACAAAATCACAATTGAATAGACATGGAACGTGATAGGAATATTTGGTATCTAAGTTATCAGTACTTTCTTATACATTCGTGTAAACACTTATTATTGACTTAGATCAATCATAGCCTTAATTATGGAATTTCTACAGATTTTGCTTTGATAGTAACCAAGGCTAAATTGCATATTGTGTTAATTGCTGCGCTAAAATAATTACAACATGCACTAAGAGCCTCTTAAGTGGTCTTATGGCATGCAAGTTTTATGACTGGGCTTAATAAAAAGTCTCCGGTTAAATGCTGTTTACAGTATAATGTTCAGACTTGCCAGACTTCTGTTAATAGGTTTAATGTCACTAGGCCTGTGCCTTCTCAAACATAATATGACTGGAATGTAATGTGATTTATGATGTCCTGCTTCATGTCTCCAGCTGGTTGTGTTCAACTGGATGGGTTCCATTAGATGTGTATCACACACACAATTTTAAATCTAATTGTCTGTCATGGAAGTGTGCATTTTTGAGAAATGAGGGTGCACTGTGTTTAGTACGATCCCTAGTCTCTTTACTCAGTTTGGGCTTCATCAGACCTCATTATACTGCCCACTTTTTATCCTTTTATGACAAGAAATTAAGGTAATATGGGCCACCAAGACAGGAAGGACACAAGCCCAGAGGTTTTTTTTAATACTTTACAACTTCCGCCACTACTTTAACAAAAAGTGTTTTTTTTTCTTTGTTTTGCTGTTTTTGTCACAGTTGGAGAGATCTCCCACCGCCTTCTGTCCCTCTTATTCCCTTCCAGTGGATAGGAAGTGAGTGGCAATCTCCCTGATAGTACCCCTCCCTGCTCAATCCAAAACAAAACAACACAAAAGGTTTGGTTGGTGCTGGGCTTGAAGAACAAATACATATTCTACACACATATTCACTCACTGATTCTTGGTAATAAATAATCTGCAACATTATAGTGTTTTGATTTAATTGTCCTGAGAACAATAATGAAACATCACTCAATATGCAATAATCAAACATAGCAAGCGTTAGTAATCTTGTGCAATAAAAGAACTGCCTGGTTGCAAGTAAACAATTAGTTATACAAGATATATATAATTATGACATATTAAAATTAAAAAGTGTTGTCATATTAGAGGCACTACAGACATCTAAAGGTACATTTTATATTGCGTATCATAGCATATCCTGAAGTCTTTTATCATTAATCCATACAACAAAGAATGACCAATCCCATGATGGAAGTTGCCTTTTCTAAAGAATATATTCAGTATTATTAAAAATAAATCACACTGATAGGGTCCCCGGTTCGAATCCTGGCCAGGTCACTATCTGCAAGGAGTTTGCATGTTCTCCCCAGATAGCAAGCAATTGAGCTGCAAGTTTGAAAATGACTTGCTAAACTATTGCTAGACTTGCCAAGCTTCACAATTTTGTTGCAGTTACAGCGAATCTGCATTGCAAGTCTCCAGATCAACATGCTTTGCAAAAGTGCTGTACACTTGCAGAGCTCTTCCTAAAGGTGGCCATACACTTTACAACCATCGCAAGACTTTAGTCTTGCGATGGTTGTAAAGTACTTAAAAAAACGTACGATCTGCCCATCTTGGACATGCAGATCGTACTCTCGATCATCGCAAGCCCGCCCCCCTGAGGGGCGGGCTTACAATGACTGTAATGAGGGGAAAGCTTACGTTGACTGCAAATGGGCAGTGTGCGCGTGCGCACACCGGCCCGTTTGGCAGTTGTCGAACCAGCAGGCCACTAACTCGCCGAGAATCGTACGATTCCCGGCGGGTTTTCTAGCATGCTGGTTCGACGGAAGACGTGCGACCGTACAGTAGAAACGGTTGCACGCCTTCCATACACTGCACGATTCTCGTACGATCACGGGATTTCCCGCTATTCTCGTACGAGAATCGTGCAGTGTATGGGCACCTTAAGTTACAAGGACAGCATACCGAGATACAGCGCTCGATCAGGGGGGTCCTATAAAATTTAGTACTGAATGTACTTGTTCAGTTGAGCGGCTTCAGAAGCATACGGACCGGGGTATCCGACCGATGGGTGAGTCTAACAGATAAGGGAGGGTAGAAGCGCTGCAAACCAAGTGAAAAAGCAATGAGGGCTGGAAAAATAAGGGCCAGTTGTGATTCCCGACCTTCAGTGGTTGATCCAATTTCCTTAGGTAAGGAGTGTTGCGAAATCATCGGCGAGGAGTAGAGGTGGGTGGTTTCCGGTGTTCCAAAGCGTCTTGACTGTGGCCCGTTGTTTGGTGGGATGTCTGTCGTCTGTTGTCCTGTTGATTGAAGGTAGCGAGAAGGCCGAGGCGGTGTGTTCTTTACTTGCCTTAGTAAAGGCAACACTCCTTACCTAAGGCAAGTAAAGAACACACCGCCACCGCCTCGGCCTTCTCGCTACCTTCAATCAACAGGACAACAGACATCCCACCAAACAACGGGCCACAGTCAAGACGCTTTGGAACACCGGAAACCACCCACCTCTACTCCTCGCCGATGATTTTGCAACACTCCTTACCTAAGGAAATTGGATCAACCACTGAAGGTCGGGAATCACAACTGGCCCTTATTTTTCCAGCCCTCATTTCCTAAAAAATCGCCCTGCTTTTTCACTTGGTTTGCAGCGCTTCTCCCCTCCCTTATCTATGGGCACCTTAAGACCTGCAGGACTCTTGCTGTAGACTTGCCAAGCAAATCTGCTATAAATTCAAAAAGTGTCAACTACAATGTGTGCTGCAAGTCTACAACTTGCCAGGAATGTGTGCAGCAAGTTAAAAAGAATTACAATTTAACCCTGCCACAAGTTTGTGGCAAGTTATCCGTGCTATCTGGGTTAGATAACCCAGCTAACAATCCCCTGTGTGATAGCATTCGGAGGTGACAGGCTCTCTTTATGAGCCTGCCTTCTAATACAGAAGATAGAGCACACATCTTCTGCTACAGCTCAGCTCATGACAGCTGACAAAGGAGTGCAGCGAGTACAGCAGTCCTGTGTCACTGATCAAGACCAGTCTCCATTGCACAAGAGAGAGAGCAGCAATGATTGGTCTCTATCAGAGAAAGGCATTACTGCACAGATCTAGAATAAATACACACAGCTCCCCGAGATTGAAGTAAGAGACCTGTGTTTAGACTTGCTTCATCCTCATTCGTTTTAAAGTTCTTTTCCTATTCATGTAGATTTACAGCCCCACAAAGGATCCAACTAGGAGCAACACTACTCTGCCTCCGGTTGCCTGGATACCGACCGGGCGTGGCCTCAGCTCTCCAGCGGACCAGTCTCCGCCCACTCAGCCCCTGACAGCCCGGCTTAGAGGGGTGACGTCACCCTTCCTGCAAGCATGTCAGAGGGCTAAAGCATGGAGACAGCGGTAGTAGCATAGGACGGCGGAGCTGCCTGTGCCTAATTCATGCAGAGGGGGATCCTCTGTCACCCCTCCCTTCCATCCCACACAGCGAGCCCGGGGTGTGATCGCACCAGCCCTCGCAGACGCCCCTTTTCTGTGGACTGCATCCTGTTATAGACCTGGGACCGAGCCAGGGGCGGGAGAGCAGCTTGCCAAAGGAAAAAGAAATTCGCCGGCCGGCAAGCTTGTGTGTTTAACGAGTTGTGCTTCCGAGTGATCTGCGATCGGGGACACTGATAGATGTACGATCAGCCCTGCTGAGACTGATCGCCCGGCCGGGGTCTAGTAGGCGCTATTTATTGATCTATATAGGGCCACCCTAATCGGAGTGCCCAGCCTATGACATTCACATCTGTTCCCGGATTGGAGGAGAGCTGAGTAGCGGGACTCCTCTACTACCTTGGATCATTGACACTTTGGATAGTTCATCATCGGATCCCTGTGCAGCACCATTGATTGAAGCAGACATCAACCATTGCTGCTGATTTGGTGAGTTCAGTCCTGTGTTTTCCTGTATTGCTCAGCTCTCCTTCTCTAATGTCTGGTTGTATGATCTATCATTCATAGATGTGTGATGCTGTTTTCATCGTGTAGCTCCTCCTATACATAGCACGATCAGCTGGCAGCCATGGGGGACAATAACACTGACCATTTATTTACATGCAGCATTATATTTTGGTCTGATGCTGAAATGCATTTGTTTTATATAGGCACGAAGAGCCTCCCCCGGAATAAATAAGTCCTGCTGTCACTGACCCCCTAAGACTCTATGTGGCCCTAGATGGCCCCTGAAATCAGATGGTTATATATAATAACATTGCAGAAGCCATTCTCAGCCAGGGTTCCTCGGGGCCCCCTGAACTGTTATTGACCCCTCATCTGATGGCACCCGGCTATTTTTGGGGCCGACGCTGTGCCAGTGGCAGGACCACAATGATCTTCTTAGCTGTCTGAGTTCACACACGCAGTATAAATTGGTGGTTGACCTGTGTTTTTACTGACCACCGACCTACACATTGACATGGCGGCCAAAGGGGTTCACACACATTGCTGGCGGTGTGATGCTCTGTATCATTAGTGATGAGCCTGGGCTTGGTGCAAACCAAGTTTACCCAAGCCTGGTCAAAACCGTGGCCGCCAACCTCCCGGCCCAGTCAGTGGCATTCCCCACCCCTTTGTGATGTGGGGAATGCACCTGCCGCCACTGATTGGGCCAAAAGGGGTAGTGTTGTTTACATGTTTGGGTGAATTCAGGTGAACTGGGTTCGCACCAAGCCTAGGCTCATCACTACCTGTCTGTCACATTTGCCTTTCTGTAACGCGCCTATTGAAGAGATCGCACTGCGACTGGATGCCAAAGGCTTGCCATGTGGTTGTGGTGCCGTGTTTCAATATAAAATAGACCTTGGGATAGATTAGAAAAAAAAACCATTGAGGAGGTGGCAGAATCCCATACTGAACATCGGCAAACCACGGGTCAACCACCTCTGAAAAGTGATTCACAGTGGGGCGGTAAAGTCCTAACGATGGCATTCTTATCACCACTGAAAGGTGGGCATTCTTTTCATTGACCACCATTGTAAAGGGCATTTTACCCACTGACCCTCAATAAATTGTTTATTGCAGGGTTTCCCCGTGACCTGGAAATTCTTTGAAGGGTTCCCCCAGGGTAGAATGTTGGGAAAGGTTGTTCTGTAGCAGGGGTGGGCAAACTCCGGCCGTCCAACTGCTGTGCAACTACAAATCCCATGCAGCATTGCAAGATTCTCACAGCACAAGCATGACTCCCAGAGACATATGCATAATGGCATTTGTAGTTTCACCACAGCTGCAGGGCCGGAGTTTGCCCACCCCTGTTCTATAGTATGTTATGTTGCAGCCCTGTCAAATAACTCATATGTTCTGTTTATTTGCATATTAAAGTTTGCATGTTGAGGACATAAAACACACTGCTAGGAATAATGTATTTGCATGTGATTTAATGTAGGCTGGTGACAAGGATGTGATTTTTGTAAGGTGAGATTTGTGTTTTGTCTGGAAGGACAGGGAAGTATATGGTGTATTGTGGAAGGATCATCTATGACTGATGTTATATAGGAGGTGATTACATTTTTGTGTGACCTCCATTTTCTCTTTCGGAGATATCCTCAAGGTGAATGAATACCTACAAGGACGTATGAGGTGCAGTGACCGGCCCCTCGGTTTTCCTGGATGGCATGCTGTGTGTTGTTGCCAGATGGTATAAACACAGTGTTCGGTATACACTTGACATTTATCATTGTGGAACACAGTCAATGTAAGCTTTGTGTCTTTTATTTTTCATGGAACATTTGCTTTCTTACTGTGTTTGTTCTTTTTTTATAGAACAGTAAAAAAGCAGTAAGGACTCATGCACACCTTTGTAAACAAACCCCCTAGATCCGAATGCGCAGCCCATGCACAGGGCTGTACAATACTCTGCATTCAGATCCATATGTATTCTAAGGGCTCATGCACACGGAATGCCTGTAACTATCAATCTTGAAATGCTTCATGGGACTTGTAGTTCCACAGCAGCTGGAGGGCCAGAGTTAGCTACCCCTGCTCTACGTTCAGATCTGTGCAGTGCATAGTTTTTTTTTTGTTTTTTTTACCCATCTCTGCTTCCAGATCTGTATGTACTCTACATTTGTGCTATATTCATGTAAACGTTTGTTGTATGCACAAACGTTTGCATGCACACAGCGTAAAATGCCCTCCATATGAGCATGCACACTGGTTGGTAGGGGTCCGCTGTGTAAACCAAGAATGGAAAAATCTGGATTCCAGGACCTCGTATGGAGGGCATTTTACGCTGTGTGCATAGAACAAACGTTTACAGAAATATAGTGCAAATGTAGTCTATTGGAGCCGACTGCATCCTATAAATCAAGGACTCAAGGCAGGGGCCTATCAACAGTGTGTAATCAGACTTTGTTGATGTTTACATGTTGGCCCTGAGTCAAAGGGGCACATTCGTGATGTGCGTATGTAAATATTAGCAAAAACATTACATGCATACAGTGCCTGGACAAGATCCTATGTTACTTCATACGGCCTGTGTGCCTGGGTCTTATTATGGACCCATGAACACAGCTGTGTTATGCTCAGTAATCTTGTGCTGCGTTTAGCTGCGTAAAATCAAAGTAGAAAATTCTCCACCCGCGCTCGGTATTTCTGTGTAATTTACATATGTACATCTATACATGCTGGGATTAAAAACTGAGCTGGAGGATTGGGAGAAGAACTTTATGGATGTGAATGTTTTACAGATATTAATGCATCTAAACACGGGTAAACAAAAGCACCTTACAGAGCACTACACGTGTTTTGTGTATGCTTCATGCCACAGGCGTCTGCACCTACATCGTGCAAATTTGGCTGTATTTCCCCCACCACGGTGCCACAGGTGCTGCGTTCAGCCTCGCATGTTGGTCATGGCTGCAGATGGTTGTACGCTGGTACTTCCATACACCTATTCATATTGTGTTCAGAGTCATACATCCGTGTGCATGTGCGGGTGTACAGAACTAGTGGCTTATATCCTCTGACACCCATGTACAGCCATTGACTTATATGAGAGGCTGTATGCATCACCTGTGGCTCCCTGGCGGAGGAAATGCTGCTGAATTTACATTGTATGGGTACAGGCACCATTTGCATGAGCCCTCTTTCTGCCAGCAAGCTCCTACATAGTGATCAGTCATTACACCCATTTACATGAGCACTTATAGTGTTACGGGGATGTATGATAAAAACAGTGGGGGGAATTTATCAAATCTGGAGAAGTTGCCCGTAGCAACCTATCAGCTTCTAGCTTCAATTTGTTGAGTTAAGTTTTGTAAATGAAAAGTACAAGCGGATTGGTTGCCACAGGCAACTGCTCCAGATTCCGTCTCCTCCAGTTTTGATCAATTGCCCCCAATGCATTTTAACGGGCTTCCTTTGGCACGGAAGTGCTTGTCTGTAATATTGCAGAAGACAAAATCCAAAGAAGATATTGGAAATTCTGTGAGTGCGTTCCCATACATTTGCATGTCTGATACTTGAATCCCGAAAGTGTGGTTTTAGAGAGGTGATGATCTCCATTACTCTTGTCATAGGAATGCCTATCCTGTCACTCACTGAGGGAGACATTACATCATCACCATTATAGGCCTGGCTGCATTGTCTACACAGGGATTACTAAGGCTGGATACGTCTCTGGTCACCTGCTTGGCCAATTTAGAACTAACTGCAGTAAGTTCAAAAGTTATATATTGGAAATTTGACACGGCTCTGCTGTCTAGAGTGCAAAGCATGCTGGGTTTTGTAGTTTCTAGGACCACCAGTGTATATGTGTGTATGTATGTGTATATATATGTTTGTGTGTATGCTGATCAGGACGGGTTCTGAGCCAGGATCCTCTCATGATCAGAGCAGTATGAAGCGGATGTCACCGCTTTGAAATCCCTGTCTGTATATTATTATTTTTTTGCCTCCAACTTGTGATGTAGCGGAATCTATGGGGGGACATGTGTCCATTTACATCAGATTACCCCCCAATCTGGCACGATAAGGTCCAGCAAAATAGATCTGTGATCCATTTAATTTCCATACCTGGCCGGAGTCGAGGGTAACTGTGTGTAAACGGACAGACTTACATTGGGCATCCGATTGGGTCCACCTGAAAAACCGCCCATGTGAAAGGGGCCTGAGATCCCCATATCTCATTCTAAAAATTGTATTTGTGAATTTTTTTTTTTCTTACAAAGTATATTAAATGAACCTGTTGCATTTAATAGTAACTGAGGGCTGCTTTTGCTGACCTCTGCTTTTTAAAGTGCCAATTGCCTGGCTGTCATGCTGAGCCTCATTCTTTATCACTTTGAGACTGAGCCAAAACAAAGGTGCAGATACATATTTTTGTTTTCTGGTCAATGACTCAAAAGGGTTAATTTACTATAAGCAAACTGGCTGTTCGGTTTGCAAGGGAATATTCAATTAGCTCTGTGACTATAGTGAAAATATACTTTTGGCTGCTGTCTGGGTTATTGTGAATAGCCCGTACAGCAGCCCTTCGGTTCGGCTGAACCGAAGGGGTCCTGGGGCCGAAGAGAGCTGTAGGATGAGATGCAGCTACGGCTGGATCCTTCGGCTCTTTGGTGGATAACCCCCTTAATGATGTACTAATGCTACAGAGCTGTGATCATTTGTGTTTATTATATCTTCCTAGAGTTCAGCTGAAAAAGAATATTGTCATTTAAACAAAACAACTCAGTAAGTAATGTCCCTTGTGTCATTTGCATTATATTTACTTTCATTTGTCAGTTGAAACCACAATATTTTTTTCTCTCACCCTCCCCCTCCCC